GACAAAACTGACAATCACCAAAACAATAAGCGGCTACGTTCACAAACAAACCAAACAAGGATTAACGTCCACAAATGAACAAGCCACCATTACCGTCTTCCTCTGTTATTTATACCAAAATTATAACGGATAGGTAGAGTTGGCGCTGCGTTTCCTTAAACCCGCCGCATAAACGGCCAACTAGCTCAAGGTTGAACACAAATTAAGAGCTTGAGAATCCTCCACAGCGGTAAAATGAACTTCGTTACTTCGTATCAAGGGTTGAGCGCCACTCAATTTCTAACTTAACTCCCCTCGTATGAAGTTGAGAAGATACGAGGGTAGTAATAATAGAACACCTCAATTCAGGCACCAAACAAAATACTAGTTTATTCACCCTGTGTCAACTCACAAATAAACTCCACAATGGGATAGCGTGATTATAAGTCGCGTTACACACAAATCTACTACACAATTTTTCTAGTTCCACAAACCTCTAATCAAGAATGATCGATTACCAAAATAATTACTGAATCTTGACACAAGTATCCACAGAGAAATTTGATATTCCGGGCAACAATTCGCATAGGCCAAGTACAAGTAAAACAAAAAAAGGCAACTCTTACCTTACTTTAAACAAAAAATTAATTGACTAGTGCCTGAGGGTCTCGCTTTACTCGTAGTAAGCATCTACCACAGGTACGTTACTTAATCGGCCAACCTCTCCAGAGGGAAGTGGGGTCTACAATAACATTCGCGTGCCTAACTCGATCTTAACTTAACCAAGATCGCAAAGATAATAATTAGGTATTGAAGTTAATAAATTAATTGTATGTGATAGCATATAACCAAGGATATCACCCAAACGGGGCAAAAATAATTAGTACTAATTCGCTAATTATCATTATATGATTGTATTATATATATATTATGTTTTCTCATCGGTGAAACCTGTTTTTTAAACTAATTACCATGGTCACAAAACTATCGTATATGCGACTATCGTGTAAGAGAGGTGTGACGTGATCTTCGTAACTAAAACCCACGGGGGTCACATTTTTTCGAGTCTCCCATGAAAGCGCTTATAGTTTCGTGTATATGTGAGTCTGTCTTTCTGCAATACGCTATATACCATTTATTAACGATCCTCGTTTATAATTTTGTATTGCTGTCCGCTTGTCTGTCTGTCTCTGTGCACGATAACTGTTTAGAAACGTCCTATCGCTTTCAAAATTAAAAATGGTCGCTATTGTTTTTCAGTTACGTAGGCTATCGGAACAAAAAGTTAGGTACAGCCCAAAAACAAGGATCGTTTGGGAAATACGCAATAGCAGATGTATTCCGGTTGTGCATAATAAATTAAAGTTTTCCATAAATTCGCAGTTACACGGGTAGGTCGCACTTGCTGAACCTACGTGGGGTTGGATTTTTTTACTAGTTCATGTATCCTTTACGTTTTTGGCACAATAGCAACTAGTTTTTCACAGTTCTCTTAAAGAAACGGTCGCTAACATATGTAACAAAGCTGCATAATTTTCGTTTCGCTCCACTTCTTAGTAAAGCTGTACGTTTTAGGTTTAGTGGTGTACTTAGAAACTACCTTCTTTGATTTATACAGTTTTCGTGGGATATCTACCGTAAAACATTGCCATTTCCCATACAAATTCGTAAATTTAAATGTCAACACAGACCCCACAACAAAAGCTTGGAAGTATCTCATGCGATTGATCAAAAGTATACATGCTCACCTATACTTCTCCCCAGAAGGGGATGTCAGTCACAGAACACCTGATCCCAGTCTGTGACCAGCTCTCTCGGCGAGCCTATGTGAAAAAAGGATAATGACACACATTCGACTTTTTCTCTAGGGGGGTTAAGAAATACGCTTGTTCCAATAATTCGCATCCGGTGGTACATTAATGTTAAATGCATAAAACGGTGATAAGTTAAGAATGTCCAAATAAAATAGATGCTAACTGTAGATTTGCTTGTTAAACATATACAACAATAGGATTAACGTCTACTGCAAGTAAAATTTCAAAAACTGATTGAAACAGTTATTACAAGAATGTTCCTTTAAAAACAAAACAGCGATATTGTCGGTCAACGATATCGTCTTTTTAAATGAGGTAACACGTAATTGAAAAGGCCTTTCCTGAATCTGAAGTTGCAATTTTTTAGACAAAATGGTGGCTAAAATCTTTACTCAACTGGGTGCTAGTGACTCGGTTGAAATTTAATATTTTAGGATAACTTTTGTAAATATCCTCTTTTACATTCAAAAAAATACTGAAAATCGTGTACATTATAGTATACTGAGCTTTGTACGTGTTGCCATCACAAGATAGTCGATGAGTCTAATGTTTCTTGGTTTTCCAGGTATTTACAACCGCCCAAGTAGGAAGAAATCCCATATCGCAGTGCCAGTATAGAGGGTCCACACTCTCCGTCAACGGAGAACTTCAGCAGCAGGCAGCCGCAGCAGCACGTGCCCGGCAGCCATCCGTAGGTATAGATACAGACATGGTTAGTGAGTTTGATCCGAGCAGCTCGGATTCCGGTGTAGTGTCACGTTGTGCCGTAGTGAAACCTTTAAAACTCCGATTGTGTAGACCAATCTTCGGTCGGCGGACTGCGAAAAGCCGCCGTAGTGAAGAAAGTAAACCGGCAAAAAGTACAAAAAGTGTTGAACAGGTGGTGCCGCGAGTGCAAAAACCCCGTGATCCGGAGCGCGAAAAGCGACGAATAGCGAGAAAGAAGGAGAAACGGGCGACACTAATTTTAGGTCTTATAATGGGTTCATTTATTGCGTGTTGGCTCCCATTTTTCTTTATGTACATTTTACGATTAGCGTACGATATTCCGGGTATAGCCTTTGCGACCGCTTTTTGGTTAGGCTATATGAATTCGGCTCTTAATCCTGTAATTTACACGATATTCAATAAGGATTTCCGAAGGGCGTTTAGACGTATACTGTTTAAGTGATGTTTAGCCTACGTGTGCTGCTACGAGTGCGTGAGCAGGCGCATACGCACCGCGCAGTACCGAAGTGCACCCAGCGCTCTCTATCGGAACTGATTTTCGACAATCGTCATCTCACCTTCACGTGTACAATACTATCGCAATATCATTAATACTGCGTTGTTACATTATCTTTCATAAGACGTCCGTGACGTCCTGCGTTTGCGAACTGTTGGAAAGCAGTTCGTCGAAAGCGCTTTTACCAGTAGCTATGTAATATATTATAATATAAAGAATACTTTTACTGTAATAATAAATATGGAGCAATGACTACCACTGTGATAACATAACGCTTTCATTCTGGAATTTATCTTAAATAATTTTATCTAAAAAACAACAGATCCTATTGTACGTGTTTTAAAAGTCATCAATGTTTAGACGTTTCTTTTCTTCTAAATTATATAGGTACCTAAAAGTTATGTAAATGACATTATTATTATTATGATTATTATATCTAAGTGTTGGTGCGAATGCGAGTACATACAAGAAAAATGCGTTATTATATTATAATAGTTTAGACACCAATTTATCATATAAATTTCTAACGGCGTAAAGCGCCAAACTATTGTACGCCCTCCGGTAGACCATCGCAAGTTATTGACATTGCCTTGGCGAGGTCTCCAGCGGCAGTCTTCCATGAGCCCGCGGGGATTGCCCCCGACTCCTGACAAACTTTTGCAACGAAACTATGGTGCTATTGACTGTTCGCCGGCCGACGTCCGGGGTTCCACTCCAGAATCCCAGCCGGCGGCTACGTGGCGCCCCGCGTGGTGAATTCGAGAGCCGCCCTGAGCCCGCGGCTCACGAATTCAAAAGCTCTGTATATCTTGTTACATCTTTAGACTATAATTACCTTATTGTTACATGAAAACAAAATATACCTATTACTGTACTGTATTTGTGTGTATGTACGTTTTTTCGTGAATACTAATATAATTATATAATAGGTATAAATAAATGAATATGGAAACTAATCCGTTTATATATTTTGTTTCCCTTGTATTCGTTAACATGTCACGCCGTATGGCGCCATTTTATGGAAATTCGGCAGACAGCTGCTGCGCCGTACTGCATCGAATATTCGACGGGCATTTACATCAATATCAGCTCTACTTCATTATATTTCGATGTCGTATAAAATTATCCGCGTGCGTCTTCGAAAAATTAGAATACCGCCACGTCTTCTCTTCCCCATTTGTTTAAAATTAAGTCCAGCAACTTTCAATTAAATACTTTCCTCGGAAGACTGACGGTGGCCGCGATCGTATCCCAAGCTTTCAATTGAATTCTAACGATAGATCCGACTTCAAACGGAAATTACTCTGTTTCCGATCGTCTTAAGATAACCTGAAATTGTCGCCATCAGTTTTGGGAACAGGACGTAAAAGAGATTCGAGACTCGATCCCCTTTATCTTGGTAATTAGACAACTCCACGTGTAAAGGGTGAGCATGTAGATCATTTTATTTGTATCCAACTTTTTAGGGATACCCTAGCGCAAATTTGTATAGAACCCCTAAGTTCAAGGGTACAAACAATATAGCAAAATGCCCAGGAGAGGTAACAATTGAGTCGTAATTTAGTTATCTTAGATTTTACCCATTTGAAAACTTGGGAAATTTACCCTGCACGCCTAAGAATAGGTCGCTACTGTTTAAATTCAGTGCCAAAAAACAGCATCAGATACGTTGACTTCTCATCACAGAGAATTTAATTTTGTATGAGAATATTGTAATATCTGCAAATACCGATTATAAAATAATGCACAAAATATAACGCAGCACTAACCGATGGTTCTATTCCAAAGGTTTATTCCGACACCATGTTCTATTGCGAAATTTTCACTATCACATATTACCTACTGTAGGAATATTAATAGGAGTTCTACCATAATGAATGGCAAGACCATCTCTGAATTCTGGTGGCGATTAAGGCGCTTAAGGGGAATGCAAGATAACCATGTACCGGTATTCATAATAGTAGCTCTTGAGACGATACGTTGACGTCGAGTCGGTAGATTTCCTAGAATGTTCAGAAGTAGCAATCCACGGTCAATTCTTCGAGAATGGTGTAATGTAGTTCCCTCTTTGGCGTAATTGTTTAAGACCCGTACCCTGAACTCATAGGTGGTGCGTTCGAATCCCACAACTTGCCAATTTTTAATGGTACAGACCATCTCCTGGCTTCGGAAGGCATGTAAAAGTCGCGGCAGTCATTCCACGGCTGTGGTTAGGTTATAATCTTGTGCAATCTTTGCCAACTTTTTAACATGTTCACTACAATGGTCAACATCAACTATCTTAATATGAGGGTCTTCGAATTTCCTTGGACCATTGCGTAATCATCAGGATGAACGACTAGATAGGTTTATTGTGCTTGAGTGACATATCCATATTTTGGTTCAGAAATCTTTAAGGCAGCCAACCATTGTAAAGCATCATTAAGATGTCCTTGATAAGAGGTGTCATCCGCATACTAAATCTGAGCTGCGTTTTTCTTTCAAGTATTGGATTAAAGGCATAGTAGCAAGGCTACAAAGGAGCATCAACAAGGGGTCACTTTGTGGTACGCCTTGCTTACTATAAATGTGGTTTTTAGAACCAGAAATGACTAATTCAGATTCACCTTTGTACCTATGATATATGAGTCTTGCAGAGCGGATCCATTTCAATTTGGCCTCCGAAAGAGTATGCTTACGATTTATTTTATTAAATGGATTATTTGAATCAAGAAGTAGTAAACCCCATCCGGATCCAGATGAACAGTTTTCTGGAAATATATGATGAACTCCGCCTTTTCCCAGCTTTTAAGCCACCATAATATTAATCCGCTCCACAATTTCAGTTACGTATTCTCTGCCGGCCCGTGTGGCTCAGTTCAGTTGAAACTGGAATGCTAAGGGTTCGAATCCGGGTTCGGGTATGGATATTTGTATATGTATAGTGGGTTGGGTTGGTAGAGAAGCCTTGGCTGAAACCCCGCCCACTCAAAAATAAAGGCAAAACAATAGTAATACATTTTGCAAGTATACGATGTAAACATTCACCAATCCCAATAGGACCAATTCCAGGGAATTATCAATCGCAATAGTTAATTTGCCGCGAGTGTCAACCTAAGGAGGGACTGTTTCCATTGATCTGAGCTGCTTTCTCCTAAACCTCCACTGCCATGAAAATTTATTGCAGCTTTCTCAACATGGTCACATGTAATTTCAAGGCATTGTAAATTTGGAATGTTATCTATATTAGACGGTAATTTCAATAAGGTCTCATCTGGTATAACAGCAAGAGGATGCTTGTCTTGTGGCGCATCAAAAACCTTGAAACCAGTATCAAATGCATCATTAAATTTAAGAACTCTGCCAGTATCCCTGCTATCTAAAAATCGTGATGCTTCTTTTACCTTTCATCTTTGGCCAAGTCGATTAAAAAACATGTTTCCTGCTTTTCCATTTCTTTAATAGTTCCTTGTTTGATCTTTTGGGCACGGGGTCGGTTACATTAGAAAAAAGTTGCCTATTTTCTTTAAGACCTTCTGCAGAGGCACCTCTAAATAGCATTATGCGGGTCTCTCTGTAATTGGGCGCATGCCTGTTGAGGGCCCAAAACAAGAGAGAGATAATAAAATAAAAATAAAAATTTCAGGGCTTACAAAAGCCATGTTTTAATGCATAAAATTATATTGTGCCATACAGTATTGCACTTGTAATAAAAAATTTCCTGGTCCTCTATATTTATATATTTTACACCTGTACTCCATTTTATTTGGTTGTAAGGGATATTTATAAAAAAGATCTTTGAGAGGGAATCCACCCGAAGAATTGTACTAGGAATGTATTATTTTAAAAATATCGTCGAAATGGAACGGTCAAGGTATCCGGACTGATTCAAATTCGAGGGCCACCATGGGGAACTCGGAAACCTGTAATAGGGTAATTATAGTTTGAATTTGGCAGTGTTGTGTATTTTGATTATTAACAAAATACCGTTTTGAAACTGAAAAAATTCCGTTGCATCCGTTGGTCAAGGTCTGTCGAAATGAAAACCAGCGTAAATACCATAAAGCAATTTTTTTAATCGATATTTAACAAGCAAACATCAAACCGTACCTAAATTTTATTGGGAAAGTTCGAACAGTTTTGACAAGAAGTTTTTTTTACGTGATGTGTGGACTTAAAATAGGATAAAGTAAAGGAAAACATTCTAACAATCTTGAAAGTTTTGCATGTTGTTTGCAGTGAAACTTTCCGTTGGAAATGAAAATATTACCTCTTCTCCTAAGTAAATTGAATTTAAAATTTTTCCAAATTTAATCCCCTAATACACTCGCGTTCCCTTGTCGACGAAATTATACATGTATAATTAAAACCAACACGCCCACTACAAAAGAAAATGCTTCTATCTGGAAATTAAGTTTACAGCTCAGAGATCCTTTTTTCCACGAACTTCCGCAACATTATTCAATATCAATCAAAACTTCAAAGATCTTTTCTGAAGTAAAACTTTAGTTAAGCCTAAAAATCCTTCTGGGATGTTTTCATTTTAACTTTCATAAATTGAGTTTTAGTTTTTAAACAGACAGTGATTGTCTTTGCCCTTTTAAATGTCATTTGGCAAATACTTGAAATTTTTAACAAGAACATGGGGTATTGGCGCACAGGACGCTGTGGAAATAGTGCCTGTCGTCAACCTCAGAGAGCGGAAACAATCGTTTGTAGCTAGCATGAAAATGCTGTTATAGTGTTATGATCTCTACGCGTCGTAAAGTATATCATCATTCTCGCAGTGTTTGTGTTTAAAGATAAAATAGTGCCGCAATTTATATAACATATTTCATCGGCAAGCTCATACTGAGCATTAGAAAGGAAAGCATTTTTCTTGAAATATGGCAAATAGGACCGAGCGTTATTTGTAATTATTCCAAACGTATAGGGCCATTAACGAACAGAGAACAATTGGTTTGTTATTAAAATTTTAATCAAGAATATGCTTTATAGGCTTTATGTTTAAATTTAATTAAGTTTGCCTTTATTTATGTGACTGTAAATGGTCCTAAATAAAACAGATTTTTGAAGTACTATATTATTAAATGTTTAATTTCATTCGTAACCTCTTTTATAGGCGAGCATTACGACTTCTCTTCAGCAATATTACCTCGGCCAACATTGGTAATAAATGCCGCCAAAAGTGCCTGTTACCTATTTAATGCGAAATTAATTGCTTTTCTTATTACTGCTTGTTTTAAATGCCCGTCTCAGCGACTCTTTAAGTTTTAATCTTTGGAGAGAAAATCGGAAATCGTTACGCCCTCGAGTGCTTACGAAATGGACACGTTGCATTAACGCCGATGATCGACTATTTAACAATGAAAGAATGTTTTAGAACAAAAACTATTGACCTTGAGAGTTGAAATAATTGATCTGCACTGTACATTGTAATGGTTTATTTTCTTATTCACGTATTTGATATTTTTTACAGTCACCGCATTATGTGGTTGAGATTGGTTGGCATACCTACATTGTAACTGACGTCATCTGTCGGTGGAAATTTGCACGCAAGCAGCAAGGTTTTTTCAATTTCCTCTTTTGGCATGCGACTGTTAAGCAAGTAGGGTGAAAACCATGTGGTTCAAATTACCAACTATGGTTAAGTGACACTAATAATCCCGCCCAGGTACCATCATAAAATTTTAAAAAAATGGCTAGAGGGCACCTTAATTAAGCGTTTTCAACAAAAAAATTGCGGTAGGAGCGCTTAACTTTCCAGTTACAGTTATATTACTCCAAATTTCATGATTACTGTTAAGTTGGTAAAAGTGTGCGTAACATTCGTGAGTGCCATCATCAATTTCTGAAGGGGTTATGTTATTTTTCGACGACTTAATAAACGTTAAAAAATGTTGTATTATAACTATACATGTGTTTCTAAATTATTATAGCATAATAGCAGTAAGTAGTTCTCTAAATGTTTTACATAATTCATGTGTACATTATTTACAGATGGGCAGCAATTTTCGAGCTTTATATACTAACAAATTATACGTACTTCTGAAAATTGTCTACTACAACTCGATTGCACTTAATCACTGATTTATACAAAAAAGGTGTTAACAAAGAGTCGATCAATGGAAGATACGAGATATATCCCTTCCCTTCACGAGTGTATAAGGCCAGGGATGCTAAGCAGCGATTGATTCGAAAAATACGTTCGAAGTTCGAAGCGGCGGTCGTTAACAAAGAGGCGATCTATGGAAGATGCGAGAGGTGGCCTGCATTTCTCTTCTCGAGTTTACATACGATGGCAGATGAAAAATGTAACCCTCTCTAAGACGTTTTTCTTTTCTAAGGCGTTCACGTTTAGACTGCTACCGCTTCCAAAAGTGGGCTTATTAAAGTGAATCCATATGCAAATTTCGCTTATGTTGTGTGTAAGTCGAACTAAACCTAAATTGTATTGTACTCTTATATTATATTACTTTTATTATATATTATTAATTTCATGATCGTACCTGGGCGAATTATTAGCGTCACGTACTCCCAATTATAAATATTTCCCGGCCTATAAGTTTTGGGGATCCAGATTTAGTTGGACGGTTACAGGACTCGGGTTTGCCGGTTCTTCGTTTTAGCCTGGTTTCGTTCGGAGAGAGTTCTTTTATTGCGACAGTGTTGATTACATTAAAGGTAAGATTTGATTTTACGCTGTGTAACGTGCTCTTCGGCGCGACAACTCAGGGGGTAGGGGTGGGTTACAACAAACTAATGACATATACAATATATACAGGGCGCCACGCCGTTTGGGACCAATAAACGGAGTAACGGCGAATCTCCGGGGAAGACTAAATCAAACAACTATTCGGAAGACACTCGGATACGTTAGCATATATATATTTAATTACAAAACATGCGATGGACGACTACAATATAATATAACAAATCCTGTGATAGCTTACAGACTAACATACAATACAAACACCCTCGCATCCACGCAACCACTCAGCAACGCTCACCCTTATGGTCAGATGGTAGGTATGGTAGAGATGAGATGGTTCCGCTTCCGGTGAGTATCTATTGTGATTACAGATGAACTAGATCCTATGTTGGGGTTGCAGGTGGTGCAGCAGGTACAGGCAAGACGGCCAGGAGCTAGCTAATAATCCCAGTACTCAGTCACGTTGATGGCAGCGTTCGTAAGCCGATGGAGTGGCTGATTTAAACGGTTACCCAATTTCCAACCGTAATAATGAGGTATCCCGTAAACCGGACTGTGTAAGAAAGTACGCTTATAGGTTAACCCGCAATACTTTGTAAGTCCAAAAGGAATAATTAACACTCACGTCTCTATGAGACTCCGTCCCCACAAATCCGAGCCCAATCCTTTCCAGTTTGTGAGGAATGTCAATAATACAGCTATCCGTCTAATATAGGTAATTGCGACTAAATTACTGCTTACTTAATTGCTTGGTGAACGCAATTACACTTTAAATACGACGTGCTTGAGTAGACCTCACGTTCAAATAAAAATAATCAAAAATGTGTATGTTTTACAATGCCCGCCTGCACTTGGCGATAAGCAATTTAGTTTAGCGAAGTTTTCTTTATGTACATACAGGCTGTTCCACAATACGCACACCAAATCTTAATTAATAACGTCACAGCTGTTAGTTGTACTTTCAGTCTAGCACTTAACCCTGAGCGGGGTGGCGGTTTATGCGGCGGGTTTGAGCCAAAGCGCCACCATCCTAACCTACTATTATAACATATCGAAGAATATTTATTAATTTAACTAGTTCACGGTGAACTGTTCACCAACAGCCCATATATAAGTTCTAATCTGCTTTTATCTTCCAAGGGGCACCTTCTTACAAATTGGTCCCCCTATTCTTAATTATAATAATCCACGCCATTTCCCATATGACGTCTACTAATTAGGTATTCTTTAAGATCCAATTATTGGATTAGTCATAACTCCCCGAACTTGAGGGATATGAAAAAAAACTGCGCTCTGAATTCTGCTGAGTTGCTTTATGATAATGTAAGCGAAAAATTTCAGTTCCTCGTCGTCCTATGACAGCTATCGTTGCAGTATCCCTTCCAAGACAAAATTACCTCTTTATCCACGACTTTCTGGAACCTTAGATTCCCTGAAGTAATTACGAAGACAACCTCTATAGAAATCGAATGCCGAAAAAACGACAATTTACTGTGATTTATACAATTCCATAAAGTACGGGTATAATTTATTGAAAAATTCACGCTAACACCCTGTGACGGTACCTAAACCGCTCTAACGCTTAATATTACAAAAAATGTCAACTGTACCGATCTCTATAAAATTCGAAAAAATAAATCCAAATATAGAGCTACCGTTACACTGCCGTCTCTAGAACAAAATCGCATTTATCTTAATTAGATTCACCTTTAACCAAGTGAATGAAATCGCTAATTAAAAATCTCTACATTGCCTGGTATGATCATTTTCAATTGCCGTAAGAAATGAGCAAAGTGTTGCTCGTACAACTAACGACACGAAAGAAACGACTGTTATTTACTAAAGCAGTTTTTCTAAACCGCCAACTTACTTGCTATACACACAATTAGGCGTACGTGACTTATGACCTGAAAGTTTTTTTTATTTAGCACCCTTTTCACACCCTTGGTGCCTTGAAAATTGGTGCAAGAAGATATCCAGTTTCATCAGGTATTGACGTGACGCTAAGCTGTAGCGAGCACTTTTACTTTTGCTTTCTAAAAAGTGAAACTGTGTTCCGCTTAAAATTATCCCTTTTGTACAGGACTGAAAGTGACCGGTCCTTTTCACACCAATTATTCTACACGCACATGTGCTTCCCATTATGAGTATGGGTTGCGCTGTGGGGCATCAGAAACGTAACCCTTCACGGCGACACAGATGTTTAAAAGCGTGTTTCCTATTAGATGTAAGTTAGTTAGTTTTGTTCATCGTTAGACGCTTGTTGTAAAATCATTTTTGTTGTAAATCAATTGCTATAATAAAGGTTATTAATGGTTTGAATCCGAAATACAAACAATTCCTGAAGTGCGCATATGCCCAGCACCTCACTGCATATATGGTAATTTTTCCTACGACTCCCTTCGGGTTGAATATTGAACTTGTCACATTTAGACAAATTAATCAATAAACGATATATTTTTTTAGTTTTTTGATATAAATTGGTTGCGTGTTACATTAAAATGGAAAGTGAAAGTAGTTAAACTTACTGTCATAAGATTCAACCCATAGAGCACAAAACGCACACGTGCTTTTAATGTAACCTAAACGCGATAAGCGTCTGCCGAATAATGTGTCAAATAATGTTGTAGCTTATTTCCTTTATAAGCGCAGATAATGCGTAAAATCACCATCACTTAGTATTTTAGTTTGAGGCTTAGCAAAAACTGTTGAATGGTGAGAGTGGGGCACGTGTGTCATTACTAATATTCGTGTGAAAAGTATCATTTTCTGGTATGCAATATTTTTTCACATCATTTTTTCTTTGCTATATTTGTTGTTTGTCAAAGTTTGTGAAGTGTGAAACAGCACAAGAAAAAGTACAATTATAACAAGCTTTATTGATTGAAACACAGCGTATAGCTGCCATTATCCTCCGAATTGGTTCGAAAGATATTGAGATGCCACGAAACGCCAATAAGATAAGGAGTGCCTCGTTTCCTAATCGACAAGCCTTCAAGGAGCGCTTAGGGTAAAATTTGTAAAAGTTCAACGTACTTAAAGTTACAATTTGAAAGTTATTGTGCGCACTTTGTATGTATGTATGATTCTAAAGATCTAAGATTTCGTGATAACTTAGCAATGGAAATGGGGAGCTTTGCAAGGAAGAGCTCCCGGCGCAACATACATATTATGCACAGTAGGGAGACTTATATACTTTAAAACTTATAGGATATCGCGCGATTATAATCCGCTGAATATGTACGCGGAACAAAAATTAATGTTCAAGTACATAAATCATAAATTTCCGTTTGCGGCTCCAAAGCAACACCACTAATCAAGAATATTAATTTCGCCAAACAAAAGTACCTTTGCACAATTAATTTCGACGCAACATTACGCACGGTCGATGATTAATGAATCTTTTTGAAACGCATTTATTGGGATTATATCTGAAATAAATTATACCTACTGATTAAACTGATGCGTGTCTGCACGATTTCCATTCGCCCCCTTTATTTGGTGCGGTGTCGCCAAACATTTACGCCCAACGTCGAATTGCATTCCTTATCGTTTCTTCGTAAAGACAATTTTGTAAAATGCTCTTTTGTATATGGCGCATGGGAAATCTTAAAATTTCACATGGGGACGATTGCAATAAAATTACGGCGAACAACTAAAGAAAATTTATACGGCTCTCTTTCGCACAGTATAGCAAACAAGGTTCGGTAGAATTGCGTTTCAGAAATGAGAAATTTTGTTAACTGCACTGAAAGTCACTTGCTTGAATATAGCGGCTTAACTTAGTGATTTTGACACTGTTTGAAGGTGAACGCTAATACAGGTGAAACCAATCGTAGTTACATGCAAGTTGGTCTTTATATAGGTTTTTCGGGCACGTGAAAATGACGGATATATATGTAAAACTGTTTTGGGTCACCTTCGTACTCCAAAACTGTTCGTAGTGCACAGGTAACCGCTGCTATCAACAGAAATATTGAAATGGATGAGTCGTAACGATCAGATACAATTTCTAATCTGTTGTGTAGTAGAAAATACGGATAAAGTTAAAATGAGCCTTTCAAACATAGGGGAATGAATCTGAACACAACAATAAAGTATAAGTGGAAATTCACTCATGCCTTATACTAAATATTGGCTGTGAAAATCTGGAAGTGCTCATCTTTCCGTATTATTGGTATCGATTTTTAGTTAATAATGTCGTAAACTTCTCGTAGAATCAAAACCAATTGCTAACTTGAGTTAAAGTACAGCGTTGTTGATAAAAGTTCGGGAATGCACCTTGATGGAAAGCTTGGTTAACGAAATTATGGGCCAGGTAAGGGTGTGACCTGACGTAGCAGTTGCGTCAACGAAAAGTTGGTCGAGGAATGTTGACGTCGTTGCGTTGTATCGAATTCTAGGCTTAGGTAGATTTAGCAGGCAGTGCGTCATAAAATTAAGAAAATTTTCGAGACTGTGATAATCGTATTTAGCAAATAATGCTAATTTACAAACGTTACCACACAGTAACAGTATGTCAGTTTTAATCCTTGGGGACATCAATGAACTGAGCAAGTCGTAAATGAACATTTTAAGACGAATTATTTTGAGTTTATCTAAAGTACCCTATTCTACATAGAAAATCAGAAATATAAACAATTACTTTCCATTTCTTCGATGTTCCTACGAATTCATCGTAATTGGTGCTATTTCTTTACTTGGCGATCATGGGACTGCTTTGATTTTGCCAGACTTCTTTACATTTTTACACATATAGTAGAGAAGTATAAAAAATAAGTTCCTTTCATAGCAATATTTTGCTTATTTCGTAATAGTTGAGCCAAACACATTTTGGTCTGTCCGGGAACACTACGATATACGCGACACTTTTCAGAATCGCAATCAAAATGGACAGTCCAGGGCGATCAGGAAAATGTGGATCGGTGAATCCTTTCGGTGAGACTGGACTTTCGGTAACGCCGTTAATTTAGAGACCTGATATTAGTGTGTCCCTCTTCTTCTAAAATTCATAATCAGTACATTTTTGAAAGTAACGATTGAATTTAAACGATATGGTTTGCGACATCTAGTAGAAAATTATAGTTGCATATTAAATGCAAGTTTGGTTGAATTACAGTCTGTTAAAAAATTTTTTTTAATTAATACCTTGTAAACATACATGAAATCTTTCGAGCGAATAAATCATTGGTAAAAGCCGTACCGTGCCTTTTGGTTGTCGACCTTCGTCTTCCTCTTTCTTTTGTGAGCTGTAACGAAGTGCACTTTGTTTGAACCAACAGCTGTAGCATTATTTGAGAACGCACGGAATTTTAATTGCCATTGTCCATATTTATTATTCATATCTGGCAATTAGATTAATTAAATTATGGATTCTGGAATAATTAGTGAACGGATTCGCGTTTAACTCCGTTGCGTTTTTGTTCTTTATCCTAAGTGCCGCCATTTGCATTTTCCATATTTGAAGTGTACCTTGTCTTTAGGCTGTTATCTGTGATACGACCATTTTCCATCGACAATTGTTGCATTCATGTATAATTAGCCCTCTTATTTAAGAGGTATGTACATTTTATATCAAAGAAGAAGTTGCCTTTAATTTTTTAGGGTTTTTAATTTTAGTCTCAATTGTACCAGTTTTTGGACTAGTTGAAAATCAATCTTAAGTACTAGTTTAACTTCCAGACACTTTTTACTCAACATACATAAGATTATTGCGAGTGCCGACGCCTTTGACATATCTTCTACCTGCTGGTAACGAGCCCTATACGTGCGAATTTTTGCACGGAGTATCAATTTATTTGTGGAAACTTGTTTGCAGCAATCAATTTAATCGATCATCGGGGTTTTGTTAAACTGGGAAATTTCAATTGTAAAGTCAAGTTAATAAGAGCCTGTGAGTAACCTAATTCGTA